ATATGTCCAAATCTGAAACTAATAAAATTTGTTATTACAATAATCTAAACAATTTAGTTTAAATAATAAAATTCAAAACTTTGATTCATCATGTGACTATGGAGTTATATTATGTCTACCAGCAGCTCGAATTAAAGTTTGCCAAGCACTAAATTCTCTATTGCTAAATTGATAATACGCTGAATATATTTCTTGTAGGCTAGTAGTTAATTCTATTATTTTGCTTTCATTTTTAGCCCAATTAACAAAGAACTGATACCATGTAATATTTGTAATTGTTTTTCGTTTTAAATGGTAATCAAAAAGTTCTTTCATTAGATTATAATTATTCTAATCAGCAGGAATATATATAGAAAAATGATGTTGTTGAAGATATAATTGTGTTGTTGAATGTTCTAAACCAAAAAGTTGAGTGCTATTAAACTTTTTTATGCCAATCGACTGCTATACTTTATCAGGTGTTTGTTTTCTAATATGATTTATTAACTGAAATTCTTGATAAATTTCAAGAAAACAATTTGAATCATCTATAATTGAAACAAATAATGTTTTTTTTAGAACAATATTCATGAATTAAAGATAATTTATAACGAGGCCCTCTTTTTTTAAAATTTTGTAATAATGATGAACCAATTCCAAATACAAAAATTTTACTTTTACTATTCAAAAAAAATAAAAATAGACAAAATTTGATATCAAATAAAAGATAAGATATAATTTTTTCATTAGTCCATCCAATTACAAGGGGTCCTGAATAATGGGTTTTAGTTTTGAATAACTTTGTATATACTGTAGAAATAGCTATACTTGGATCAACAACTATTTCTGAAAAAATATTATTACAAGAACATTGGTAACTAGATAAAAAAGAAGTAGTTGAATAACCAATAACTACTGTAATAACAAATTTTTGACTATTAAGAATAGCAATAGTTTTTTGTCCAATATGAATTGGAAATAAAGAAAAATTATTATTATTATTATTTATAGTGTTTTTTTGCCACCAAAATCGTGAAAAAGGTCTATAGTGATAGTTTTCATCAATAATACCAGATTCTATAAGCGTAACAGCAGTTGGTTATATTTTTTTTAATATTTTAAAGACAAAGTGTTCAGATTCCAACATGTATATTAAAATTATTATAACTCTTATCCCTTATCTTTATAATAAATTAATATAGCAATCAGTATTGATCTTAGCCAGATTAGCAATTAAAGTACTCCAAAAAGAAGATATAATAAGAGAGCTCAACAACAAAGAAATGATCAAGAAACTATTCTTTAGAGAAATGCAAGAAGAAAAAATAGAAACAAGAAGACTTCTAATAAGAAGTTTTATAACTAAAGAAAAAAAGCAAAAATCAAGGAGAAGATAGAGAACAGAAATATAAAGTGCAAGATACTAGATATAATTAAAAAGAAGTTCAA